CCCTGGAGAACTGGAGTAGGGAATGACAATCTAGTCTCTTCTAAGGAAGATATACTTCAATTCAAGCTAGTACCGTGCTGCTTTTGCAGAATTAAGTTTAAGGTTGAATTTAACAATGCTTACATATTTGGGGCGGTCAATCATAATTGCTTGGAATCTGCTTCCGACTCATTAGTTTCCTTGTAAAGATTTCTAGTGGCAGCATTCCTTTTGTGAACCATAGGTACTAAAAGTAACTTTTAAATAATTTTATTTAAAGGCTAATTGTTTCTGTTTGGTGTGTCTCAGTTAAAAAAGTTTAAAAATGCATGCAGGAAACCAGTTTAAGATAAGTCTTATGAAGATAAAGTAGCTACCCAAGTCAGTCATTCAAAGTAAGCCATTCAAGGATGTTCCTTCAAACAGGCAAACCAATGAACATTAATTAAATCTGAGACTAGACACTACTATTTCTCTCATTACTAATGCAGTTTTGTAGGTCTGGAATGTTACAGGTGATTTCCCAGCTCCATTAGGAAAGGAGCTATCAGCCAGACTTCTCTAACTCTGCTACACACATCTGGCCTGCATACCTCATTACAAAGGTTATCAAGTACTGCAGAAGAACTGGGGAGATGCATTTCTTTCAGTGTAAACCTGGATATACTACTTTCCTTGTAACCTAGGCAAGAGAGGTCATTTACAACCTAAAGGACTGTAAAGCTTCTTAAGCGGAGGAGGACCTGGAATCTGCCAGTGCTTTCAAGTAGAAAGTAATAGCATATTGCCCTTATTTAGGTGAGAGTTTAACGGTATCATTTCAGTGGAAACCATGAATTTTGTGAGAGCAACAGTGTTTGCCCATGTTATTGGTGAATAAAGACCACCAAATCAATTCTGCCAGTTCTAAAAGTCCACTTTTATTTTAGGTTACATGTAACATTCTCTTCCACAGAAATACATAATTGTAACCATCTTACAGTTCTGGAAAATTGTTACTGTTTTCAGTTGCAGTGTTCATGTAAGTAGTTCTAAGAAAAATTACTGGCATGGCTCAGTAATCTAATGTAGTCTTTTACATATTGAAGTGTGTTTCGTGTAGTTGGTTGGTTGGATGGGTTTTTTGTTTGTTTTGGTTTTTGTTTGGATATTTTTTATGCAATTTTATTGCTATTACTTTACAGGGCTTGACAATCCTGGAGGTCTCTTCCATCCCTTTCTTGATTATGTAGACAACTCAATTGGGTATAAGAGTCTGTGCTGAGCAGTGTAGTTAGGCATGAGAACACTGCTCATTCAAGTCAGAGATGTATAATCCTTTTCTGTGACTTTATGCCAGGAAGAAAAAAATATGTAAGTCTTCACTGGATTTGAAATTGTCTGTTGTTATAATTTATTAACTCAATACCTTTATGGGTTCCTTTGGTTGTCAGTTTTGGCTTGTGAACACACAAGATATTCTGATGCAGGCAACATGATAGTAATTTTTCTTCCTTCTCAATGGTTATTAATTCTAGCTTTTTCAGGAAATTCCAGTTGAAACTGCAATATATCTAAATAGCTCTACTTTCTTTTTTTTAAAAGTTCTCAAATCATTTAAGCTCTAATATTGTCTAGTCTTAAAATTTGAGTACAGTGATTAAAAAAAACCAAACCACAGTCAGAAAGAAGTTAGCTAAACTAGCTTCCTGTTTAAGCCACAAACTAATATTTATATATATATATACTTTCTGTTTAAGTCTCCAAGTAATGTTAAAACCCAAGTAAATGCATTATATTAATATTGGTAAACAGTCACAGCATCAAATTATATTTCTTTATGTGATTCTTACTCAATTTCATTAATATTGTTAATAAGCTGTTATCTGAAACTCACATTTGCATGCAAGAAATTTAGAAGGGCACACCATATCAAACTTTCCACAGCTTCAAATGCCATCAATTAAATGCTTTCATTTTCAAGAGGACACAGGCATTTGAAGGTAATAGAAAATGTAGAAAACAGAATCTATCGGTTTTTTCTAAAAATTCCCAGAGATTCAACCTTTCAAAATAGTTAGGAATAGGTTAGTTTCAATAAGGATTTTTGCTATGTCAAAAAAAAGGGGAAGACACTCTTAATAACATGGTTTATGGCTGTGTTGATATCTCTCCTTTTTGCATGCTTTCTCTAAACTCAAGACATTTTTAAAATGTCTTTACAAAAGTATACTGCAAAATCATTACTTAATTCTGAATATACTTTAAACAAAATTCTAAGCCAACTGGTATCTTGTGAAAAACTCGTATGTCCTACTTCTTGATAAGTACATTTACTTTTGCCGTAATTGTTCTTTTCACAATCTAGTTATAGTATGTTATACAACGATATTAAAACTCTTCTGAGATACTCTGTATGAAGTATGAACTGTTGTTAAGTAGCAGTTAAAACATCTAGACACATCTTTCAATAATAGAAATAAAATGGATAAACACAGAATACAAATTTTCAGCTTCTACAACTGAACACTTATGGTTCCTTCTGACAACTCTCTAAATGACAGAAAGAAGCTTCTTATATTTTTTATTAGCCTAATATTTCAGTTTAAAAAAGCAACATAAAAATATACACTATCATCTTTGATTTTTCGGCTTAAGACTTTTCTGCACAATAACAGTTAACAGCAGAAAATTATTCTGCTTGCACCTGCTGTCACTCCACTTCATTGTGCGGTATAAATATGGCTGTAGATTTAGGGAGGAGATTTTTTTTCATGGAATTCTTTCTTTGTGGACTTGAACACGGTACCAGAAAAAAACCCTCTTTCTCTCCTAAAAGACTGTGGGAAGTAGGTTGGTTGCAGTCTCAAAGATACCTCTTAGATTTAGTTTCAAGTTAATAATTAAATTTGTGATAGTAAGAGTGCTGCTCTGAGGAACAAAAATCAGGAATGGAAATACTATGTCATTTATTCCTTTTTAAGTTAGATTGGCTTTGAATCAGATTTCCTTAAAATGAAAAAAGTCAAATGCTGAAGTAACAACTCTTGTAGTGTTGGGGTTTTTTCCTTCTTTTTTTTTTCCCCAAGTCTGAAGTATTCTCCCCTCCTTTACAAAGCTGAATACAGAAATTAACATTTTTATTATGTAATTTAGGACTCAGAATATTCAGATTACCTTTCTCCAGATGGTGATGTTTTTTGTGAAGACCTGATTTGTTGCAAAATTTCAGAAAATTTTATTCAAAGTTCTTTAGATGTGAGAGGAACAGAATTTATACTGATGCTCAGGCATCAATTTTCCCACTGGTTAACTGAAATCTAACCTTTCATCCTAGAGATTTTATAAAAAACCTTTTTGGAATGCAGAAGTATATCTACAGACATGCAAGTATGAATGTGCGCAGCAAAGTACTATATTTTACAGAAAGAAAAAGTTCTGTATGTTTTGTTGTGTTGTCCACATACCTCAAATGTTTATTAGTTTGTACTTTTAAACATAGCATTCACATCACGTAGGCATTTGGGCATTTGGACATTTGGACGTTGTTTCTTGGATTGCGGAGGCGTAGTGTATTGTTTTGTTGAGAGTGCACGCGGATTAAAGTACTGTCTTTTATCAGCCTGCTCAGATACATGTTTTATATTCTGTGCTGTGGTCAGTTAGTCTGGGAAGAAGTCCATCAATACGTGTTTGTTTTATTCGGCAAAATGTAGACAGGTGGAAGTTTTCTTTCTTTGGATAATATACATGTTCATTGAAAGAGAACTAGCAAACTTGGAAAAATGCCAGAGGAAAAAGCATTCCAACACTGAGAATCATGCTGATGAAATGTGAACTCTGAGTCCAAATGTTAGCTCATTCTGACAGATTTACAAATGAGAAAGTAATTTAAGATCTTGAAGGTATTCTCCTTTACATTAGGATAGTGAAGTATGTTCAGTTACTGCCCATGTTCACAGTGAAGAATTCACATAAAATTTTCATGGAGCTGAAGCTTACTCATCCAGTTTAATATGAGATGTATTACACCAGGATGGCTTGTGTGATTAATGGCATTTGTCAGTTTTTCAGAAAAAAAGTATGCCTTTGTGTATATCTTCTCTTCAGCTTCACTTTTTCATCCATACTTACAGAACCCGAAGGATTGCAGCAAAGCTAAGAAACTTGTGTGTAATATCAACAAAGGCTGTGGCTATGGTTGTCAACTTCATCATGTAGTCTACTGCTTCATGATCGCTTATGGCACTCAGCGAACACTCATTTTAGAGTCTCAGAATTGGCGCTATGCTACCGGTGGCTGGGAGACTGTATTTAGGCCTGTAAGCGAGACATGTACCGACAGAACTGGTACTAGTACTGGACACTGGTCAGGTAAGAATTAATAACTCGAATAATTTCTCCTTATTTTTTGCAGCTTCTTTCACATAGAACTAATTTGATATTACTTTCTTTAATGTTATGTCGAGCATAATAACTATGACTGCAGTTGTATACATCAGCATCTTTTAAATCTTATGTTTTCATTATATTGAAAAAGTATTATCCTTATTAAGATGTCTCTGCTTTGGCAAAGATTTTTTAACACAAAACTTTTGTATTTCAGATTTAAATTCTAATGCTTCAGCAGTCTGCCACTATGTTATGTGCCAGATATGAATCCAGTTTTTGTTGGAAGAGAGTGTTATATAGAAGCTAATTATTTTTAAAAACAATGAAGCATGCATTAATTATAAATCAAAAGAAATTTTAAAAAGGTATCCAGTAGTCATTGAGACACCAACAAAATAATAGTTGAAATAGTTTTTAACATAAACATACTGTGCAAACAGTAGCAAGGTTAAATACCTTTTTATTTGTAGATCAGCAAGTTGATCCATTCTTACACTGGGCTGAATGTGCTAGAATAACTAGATGGGCATACGTGTTTGGAGGATCAGATAGCTTTGTTTGTCTCAAAGAAAACAGCATTGTTTTAATGGAATACTTGCAGTCAACATCTTGAAGAGTTACTAACATCTGCATGGTTTTATAGTGTTTTTCAAGGTTTTTCTCAAAATTGAGTAGGTACATAGCACAGCTGGAGATGGCTGGAATATGTTAACGGTAAATACTAAGAAGATTCTTTTAAAATTTCTGCATAGATGATTTTCTTGTGAACAGTTATCAGCTTTTTAAAAACAAAAGCTTTTTAGCAAAGCTAGCAACTGAAACCAGAGAGTATGGTTCTGGGTAGATTGCTCTATGTGACTCCAGAATTTGGTTGCAGTTTTGTGAGCCTTGTGTTTAGCATCACACATGGCTTAAAAAGACTATATTTTCATGAAAATCTGTTGAAATAGATAATGATTTCCTGCAATATGGGCTCTTGCTGGTGAGACTACAAGTATTGTTTCCTTTTAGCTCCCTACAGTTGTGTGGGTTTTTTTATTTAATTAATTTTAAAAAGACATTCTGCCTTACTGAAGATTTCTGTGTTTTTTATCTCTCTAAACTTAAATAGATTTTTTTTTTAAAATTCTCTGTACCTTTACAAGGACAAATTCTTAACTGTAGTTAAAAACAGTTTTTCTGCAAAACCACACCTTTAATTTTTTTTACCCTACATCTACTGGCTTGTATCAGAAATAGTGTGGCCAGCAGGAGTAGGGAAGTGATCCTTCCCCTGTACTCAGCACCAGTGAGGCCACATCTCGTATAGTATGTTCAGTTTTGGGCCCCTTGCTACAAGAAGGTCATTGAGGCACTGGAGCTTGTCCAGAGAAGGGCAATGAAGCTGGTGAGGGGTCTGGAGAACACATCTCATAAGGAGCAGCTGAGGGAGCTGGGGTTGTTTAATTTGGAGAAGAGGAGGCTGAGGGGAGACCTTATTACTCTCTACAGCTGCCTGAAAGGAGACTGCAGAGAAGTGGGTGTCCGTCTCTTCTCTCAAATAGCAAGTGATAGGACAAGAAGAAACAGCCTCAAGTTGTGCCATGGAAGGTTCAGATTGGATATTAGGAAAAAACTTTTACTGAAAGAGTGGTCAAGTGTTGGAACAGGCTGGCCAGGGAGGTGATGGAGTCACCATCACTGGAGGTGTTCAGGAAGCTTGTGGATGTGGCACTTCAGGACATGGTTTTGTGGGCATGGTGATGTTAGGTTGATGGTTGGACTTGATGATCTTAGAGGTCTCTTCCAACCTTAATGATTCTGTGATTCTGTAATCAGCATGAGATTTCAGAGATTTTCAAAATAAATGTATGAAAATGCATTGACATTTATAAATTTCTGTTTCTCATAAACAAAATGTTTCTCCTATGTAATGTACTTACTATGCTGTGTATATGGGTTTTTAATAAAAGTTGGTTTTTACTTGTGTATCAAAAATATTCATGCAAGTAAATACTTACAAGAAGATATCAACGTAAATTACAGATATAGGCCATAAAGTCAGAAAACTGTATAAATTTAAAAAATTGCTTTCATGTAATTTGCAGACTTGCATTGAATAATAATTTAGTAAATTGTGCTTTAGGACGGAATTGTTTACAGCTGTACATTTATCATTTGTTTAATTCATTTGTCTCTCCCTGACACTTAATTTAGTTGTATTAGCAACGTAAAATTTTGATTTCTGAAGTCTATCTTTAGGAAGACAATTTAGATAGTTATCTCTTCTACAAAGAACTAAGAGGCTTATATGAGCTGAGAATGTATATATTTAAAAAATATTATTGGTTCAGTCCTCTCCTAACTAGGCGTAAAAGCTATGCTTGTCTATTTCAGGAGAGATTAGCATATTTTTGGAATTTTGGGAGTAGGGTGAATTTTAATAAGCAGGCTGACATTACTCTGATAGCAAAAGATTAGTATGACATGTTCTCTTGTGTGTGGAGAATTAGGGGTCATCTCAACCCTTGTCATCTTTGGCAGGAATTATTCTTTGTGTTTGGCATGGTATTCCTACAAGTCAAGTTCAGTTTTCCTAGCTTAAATGTGTTAAAAGATTGAGAATACTATTGCAGTTTTTTGCAAATACAGGATTTATTTTATACTGTGGCATAATTTTTCCTTTCCCTCTGTTTTACTCCAACACTTTCATACTGTCATTCTGGAGAAAAAAATATCCTAATGCAAGATGGTTGTATGCATATTCTTTTTAATTTTAAAATTATACCTTGACTGCAATTGTAACTTACTTCCAGTTTGTTTTTCCTTAATATCTATGGACAAACTGTTTATGAAGAATTCAGGTAGGAATTGTTTTAAGAAGCATGTATGAATTCCTAGTAATAAATGCCAAACTACAGAGACGTTGTGAATACATAATTATCATTATATTTTTAATTAATTTTCTTTAAAATAGTTATACTGAGCATGAATATTTTTATTTGGCAAGTCATAATGTTCTGTTATCATTGCAATGTGCTACAACAGGGTAGACCTCTTTTTATAATTTTTTACTCGGTGTTTTATGGTGTCCTTGTGGCATTTCCCAATAGTGCATTGAAGAAGGACTATAAAGTAACTAAATAAAAAAATGGAACCATACAATAAATGAGAAAAGAAAACCAATTAAGAGAAAAGACAGATTAACATGCTGTTACAATTTGTACCTGCATTACATGATGGGGAATGAAGGGGTGTGGAGGTAAAGAAGCTTACTACATGTTTTAAATAACGATGTGTGCTCCCTCCCATAAGGCCTGGAAACTGGTAGGATGAAAGAGAACTTGAAAAAAGAAACCTGAAACAAAGTTTTCTGTAGTTATGCTTGAATATTGGCTTTGCTGCCTTTAGCCATGGTTTGATGAAGGAATGCTTTTAAGGCAGGGGTACCCAGTGGGGAAAAAATGGCAGAGCTCTTCATTTGGTGATAGTGCCAGCTTTTAAGTCTTCACTGAACTATAATCTTAAAATATGAATTAACTAATATGTTTATATGTATAATTCAAGAAAGAGGATACTGTGGGTACACAAAATTAATTTTTAATTCATTAAAGCAAATCAGGCAACAGTAATCAAAAGGACTAAATGAAAATTGCAAACTCTAACCATAACAAGTTCTGCAGAATTAATTGCAATAAATAGAAAACTTTCATTTCATGAACTAGACCTTCCTTGACTTTTTTTTTATGTAAATCAGATGAATATTTAGTATTAGCCTAAAAAATCCTTTAACTTGCATACAATTATATGAACTGTGTTTTGCTTCACACCTCACTCTTCTTTATAAAGTCTTGCAGAAAAAAATGATTCGTTTATATTTCTAATTCTTAATATCTCTTAATATCTCTTCTATACACCGACTCATTATTTAAATTTTAATTCAACCGAATTTACGTTACTGTGAAGCATACTGGGTATGGTGATTTGAGAGAACAGAGCAGAGGAGCAATCTGTGTTGTTTTTTCCCTTTGTTTCAGTTATGTTGATCTTGAAATCAAGTTACTGCGTAGATTTTTTTGTTGTGAAGGTGCTTTGTAAGGTGCTCTATATGAAGACATTTGTGTACACAAACATGAAAAATTATTTAGAAGGGTGTGACTTTTAAAAGAACCTTAGAATTCTAATGAGGTATGTCTGAGTTTTCAGAGCAATGCAGTAGTCTAAGAGAGCAAAGTTTGATCCTTATGTTAAGTGGAGGGTTATTGAATGGTAGCAAGCAGTTATTTTCGCCTTGCAGAACAATGGCCAGGCTGTAGGACACTGTCTAGTTTTGTTATCTGACCTTCAGAATGGACATTGATATATATGAAAGGAGTCTCAGAAAGAACTGCACTGATTCAAGGCCAGAAAAATCTGCTTTACAGTAAGAGATTAAAGAACACCATTCAGATTAAAAATGAAGCCAGTTTTAAAAGCTGGTCCCACAACATTTTATAGGGATTTTTTAATGGGGAAAAAAAATGGTACTTTTAGACAAAAACATCTGGCTGGACTATTCAGATTGGAAATAAGGTCTGTTTTTTTGCAGAAACATTGACTGTTTAATAATTTATTCAGGAGATATGGTAGATTCTCCATTAGTAAGTCTTAATTTCATCGAGATTTTATGTGTTCTTGAAAACCATGGATTATCTCCCTTTCCGTCTTTTAATATTTTGCATGTGTGGCATAGCCGGTTATTGTGATTTCAGTGACCCAGTTGAAGCTGCAGTCTGGTATACAGTGGACAGACTGGGATGAGGAAGGCTGAAGAGAAGCATCAGCAGCAGAGTAGCCATGCCTTGGATGAGCACAATTAGAGTAATTTCACAGAGTCACAGAATCATGGAATTGCTTAGGTTGGAAAAGACCTTTAAGATCATTCAGTCCAACCATTAACCTAACACTCCCAAGCCCACTACTGAACCCAAGCCCCTAAGTGCCACATCTGCATGTCTTTTAGA